CAATTGTCTTGTATTTTTGCATATTTTCATATGGTATGTAAATATTCTAGAATTTTCATTTTGGAAAACACTTTGTATTAAAAATAGTTATGCTTAGTTTTTTAGGGTTTTTTACCCTCCTCTCTTTCAACTAATCTTTCAAAGCTTTTGATTCCTCTTTCTTAAAGCTTGATATTTGTCAACTCTTTTGTGTGTGTGATTTTTGATTTCAACTTTTGCTTGTAAGCATCATAATTGTTTCACTTGATTAACATTTAGAATCCCCATGAAGTTATAACTTGTTTGCATTGGTTGTTACCTTTATCTTTGTCAAGATATGCTTTGGTCTTTACCTTCCATTTAGTCTTGTAAGAACTTTCCCCTTCATGATATTGTGATGTCCTTATACCATGTTCTTGGTTGTGACCATCCATCTTAATTTTAATCCTTGCTTGATATTGTAATATGCTTGCATGTTCTTGTTTGTGACCATCTATCTTATTTGAAATCATTGATATTGTGATGTCCTTATGCTTATTTTTGGTTGTAACCATTCATCCTGTTTGAAATCCTTGCCTATTATAATATGCTTTTTCATTCTTGGTTGTAACCATATCCCTTTGTATTCATCATGTTTGAATGATTATTGCTTTGTTAAGTTTGTTTCCCCAAGTGATGAAACTCTTTAGTTCTCATCCAAGTTGCCTCTCTTTTCCCTTCCAAAGGAAAGTCTCTCTATTGACCTTTGGGTCATAGGTAGCTCATTACCCTCCCTTGACTTTTTTAAGTCATCTATATACTTTGTTAAGTTAGAACCTATCCATTAGACTTTGCTTAAGTCTAAAAATCTCACCCTTTGTTAGGAGTGCTCCTTCGATTAGAACTTAAGATAGAGTTTGTTAACTCTATGTAAGAATAATAGAGATGATTACTTACTCCCCTTTCTTGAGTGTTCAATGTAGATCTAGAGAGTTTTCTTAAACTCTACATAAGCATTGTAATGTTTGTTCCCCTTTGAACCTTGATCATAATCAAGTGTTCTTCATCCCTAGTGAGGTGAACTATGATTGCTCTGATTCTATCCTAGTTAGGATACGTAGGCAGATGACGCGATGTCTTTGCGGGCAAACTTAGAAACTATCTTTAGGTTATTACCTACACCTTTTACCCAATCCCAATCCATAGCAAACATTTAGCAAGTATTAGCTTACAAACAAACAAAAGGTTCCTGTAGAGTACTACAAATGTTTAGGATGTGAAATACCTACCCTAGGCATAACAACCCCCGATCCCCGAATCTCTTAGCGTTGTTGTTACATCGCGCAAAAGGTTATTTATTTCTTTATACCTTTCCTTTGGATAAATTAAAGTCCGGTTGTGAATTTAAGAATTAAGATTCAAGTTAATCAGTAGCTTGGTATCACGATTCTCACCACAACACAAGGCAATCAACTTTTCTCACGATGCTCCCAACGTCGTGCAGAACCCCATGCCCAACCATGGGGCCACCAGAGTCAATGCAATAATTGAAGACGAGAGTTTAGATCTGATAACTGATGTCAATGATTTGAAGACACCGTTGGGCTTTGTGAAGGAGAAGTTATTGAAGGGAGGGATATTCCCGGGATGTAATGAATCATGTGCTGAATGTTTGAGTCATCCTGAGGGATGTGCAAAACTGAAGAGCTGTATTTAGGTATGATGAATGATGGAATGCTGCAATTTGACCGGGTTGCCGAGAAGAAGTCTGAAGAGGTAATGGTTGAAGAAAGGAATGAGGTTGTAACAATCTCGATTCCATACAAAACTGTAACTATTTCTGCACCGAGGCCGCCAACCATTATCATCACCAAAGCTGGTCTTGTGCCGTATGAGAGTACCAAAGCAATTCTGTGGAACTACGGAGCGGAGGTATATTGTAATGGACAGAAACAGGAATTGAAGAGCTTGCCGACTGATTCTGTGGATAATCTAGTTGGAGTTGGGGGAATCACTCGAAGCGGAAGAGTGTTCTCATCACCTGAAGTGGTTGCTGACAGAGTTGATTAGGGTAAGAAAGTTGTGGTGGAAGAAACTTCTCAAGCTGGTGAGAAGAGTTCTTTGGAGAAGGAAGCGGAGGAGTTCATGAGATTGATAAGAAAGAGTGATTACAAGATAGTTGATCACTTGCAACAGACTCCCTCAAAATCTCTATTCTGCCGTTGTTGCTATGTTCGTAAGAGCACCGAAATGCTTTGTTAAGGATATTGAATACTACTTACGTGCTATAAGAGATGTCAGTTAACCAACTCGAAGGGGTTGTAGCACACGTCAACGCAGGAAATGGTCTATGTTTCATGGATTTGGACTTGACCCCGAAGGGCAGGAATCATAATAGTGTGTTGCACATTTCAATTGAATATCGTGGAGTCGTCTTGTCTCATGTGCTGGTAGATACAAGATCGTCTTTGAACGTGCTTCCGAAAAAGGAACTGATGAAATTGGACACTCGTGGTATAACGTGTACGCCAAGTGACTTGGTAGTACGTGCTTTTGATGGTACCAAAAGATCTATATTTGGAGAGCTGACGTTGCCTATTCAGGTGGGTCCCGAAGTATTTGATGCGGTATTCTATATTATGGACATTCAGCCGACCTATAGTTGTTTGTTAGGCCGTCCATGGATTCACTCGGCGGGAGCCGAAACTTCCAAGCTGCACCAGAAGCTCAAGTACATGGTGGGTGGTAGCATTGTCATTGTATGTGGAGAGGAAGATATAATGATCAGTCATTTGTATTCGTTTAAGCATGTTGAAGTGGATGGTGAAATCCATGAGACTCTTTGTCAAGCCTTTGAAACGGTACAGATTAAAGACAAAGTGTCTGCTGTGAGCAAAGCGCCCGAAGTGGCCATGTCATCCTTCAAGGAGGCCCAAGCAGTAGTGCAGGCTGGGGCGGCACCAGGTTGGGGTCAAGTGTTGGATATACCCCATAAGCAGGATAAGTTTGGTCTGGGATACCGCCCATCTTCTTCGTCATCCTCACAGAGCGTGCCGCACTACAAAGGGCCGGTGCAGTTTACCAAAGGCGAGGTTATCTTCGAGAGGATCAACGATGTTTCAGATGAAGACGGGGATAGCAACTGCGATATGGACTCCTGGATTCGGCCATGCATTCCATGACAAGCCTCAACAATTGTTTTATCGAGGAATTCATTCAAGTGACAACGGAAGAGTAATACTTTGTTTTTCTGATTATTGTACAACCCTATGTTCTACCCGAAACATAGTGGTTTTATCTTCAGGGCCTTATTGTTTATGCTTGCACATTCTTTTTCAATCAATCAAAGGGCGTTTTTTCTGCATTCAAATATTGTGATCCTTGTTTTTCATGTTTTATGTTTAACAATAAAATGGCAATGTGGCTTTGTGCTTGTTTTACATATCATTTTAAGCATTTAACCATTATCATTGCAGGATTTACATTGCAGATGATACCGCGCCAGAGACATCTATGACTCGCTTCGACTTTGACAATCTGATATTTCAAGATGAAGAAGAGATTGATGAAGATGAAGACTTACCAGAAGAGCTGGCTAGATTCTTGAAACAGGCAGAAAAGGTTATTCTGCCTCATCAGGAAGAAATCGAGGTTATTAACTTGGGTTTTGAGGAAGTTGTGAGGAATGTTCGGATAGGGGCTGCGCTGCAGAGTGACATCAAGTAAAGATTGGTTGAGATGCTTCGTGAGTATAGTGATATCTTTGCTTGGTCATACAAAGACATACCCGAGATTGACACAGACATTATGGTTCATCGCTTGCCGTTGCGTGAAGAGTGTCCGCCAGCCAAGCAGAAGCTCAGGCGTACGAGACCAGATATGGCTGTGAAAATCAAGGAAGAAGTCCAGAAGCAGTTGGACGCAGGATTTTTAGCCGTTACAACTTACCCTTCGTGGGTCGCCAACATCGTGTCTGTGCCTAAGAAGGATGGCAAGGTACAGATGTGTGTTGATTACAGAGATTTGAATAAAGTGAGCCTGAAGGATGATTTCCCGCTCCCCCACATTGACGTATTGGTTAATAATACTGCTCAATATTTCGTGTTTTCCTTCATGGACGGTTTTTCCGGTTATAACCAGATCAAGATGGCACCGAAGGATATGGAGAAAACGACATTTATCACGCCGTGGGGGACTTTCTGTTATAAGGTAATGCCTTTTGGTTTGAAAAAGGCAGGGGCAACCTATCAGCGGGCTATGGTCACTTTGTTTCATGATATGATTCATCATGAGATTGAAGTCTATGTTGATGACATGATAGCAAAGTCGTAAACGGAGGAAGAACATCTGGTCAACCTGTCGAAGCTGTTTGAGAGGCTCAAGAAATTCAGATTGAGGTTAAACCCTAACAAGTGTACTTTCGGGGTCAGGTCAGGAAAGCTGCTGGGGTTCATTGTCAGTGAAAAAGGAATCGACACTAGTAGAAAAAAGGCTTTTTAAGTCGGTTAAAAATGACTTTTTAAGTCGGGTCCGAGCCTGACCTAAGAATTACCGACATAAGAAGTTTTGACTTCTTAAGTCGGTTGTGGACCTGACTTAACAAACTATTATTAGGTCGGTTAGACAGAAACCGACTTAATAAGTCTAGCCTGCAGAAACCATTTATACCCGACCTAAGAACTTACTTTCTTAAATCGGGTATAATTAATCGACCTAAGAAGTTTTTTTTTTTGTAATAACACTTTTTTTAATACATATATATATATATATATATATATATATATATATATATATATATATATATATATATATATATATATTAAAGAATCGGTTAACAATCAAATTATCGTAGACTCCAATGTTAGAGTGATGAACTCTAAATTATCGTAATCGTCCCCAAATATATCTAATATTATTTCTCAAAAGTGACCTACAATTCATAATTACCTGAAACAACACTCCAATTAAAACGTAAACTAACCACCATTAATTCATATTATTATTGTTATAAGAAATTTAATTCAATATCCAAATTGTATATTTCATGCTTTACAAGCAGTATTAGAGAATAAGCTTGTTAGCCGAACATAATCACTAACAACAGATTCATCATTATCATTCTTATGCCAAGTCCAAAGTGCATGTGTTGTATTAACCACTTCAAATAACCCATGTGCAAAGCTAGCCTCTCTAAACAATGATATATCTAGTTTAGGATCTTGGTACCTGTTAACACATATCACACAATTGTTAATCAAATCATGACTTATAAGATTCTAATTCCTTTGATGATGTTAATTAATAATTAAAAAAAATGCTTTAAAAAATTGAATAAAATATTATTTACTTTGTGGCTTGTCCTTCACGATTTCCACCATCTCCAATAGTAATATGCACTGGACCACAATTGTCACTTTTATCCTTATAAACTCGAGTCTGTAAAAACAAAAAACATTATTTTTTATTTAACAATATAACAGAAATGTTAAATTTATAATAAATTTTTTACAGAAATGGAAGACAAACGGATAATAAATATAAAAATACTTACAAAGCGTTCGTAAGCATGAACATGTCCGATAAAAACAACATCAACCCGAGCATTATAAAGCAACTCTTCCATAGAAGCCTTCATGTTAACAGATTCATCTTCACCCTCATGAGCTTCATTAGTATTATACCATGGAGCATGAAGCAACGCCACTACCCAAGGAGTCTTTCCTCTATTTATCTTTTGTAAATCCCCTTGAAGCCATTTATATTGCGAAGAACCTCGGTCGAAATCAGTATTAAGATCCCAACATTATGACATGAACACCAGACACATCGAAAGAGTAGTAAAGGTTAGAGTTTGATCCACTCTCTTCAAACAGCATTTTCCATCTTGCGTTGTATGCTGTGAATGGTGTTTTGTGGATGATTGGAATCTTCTCAACATCGTGGTTACCTTGAGTAACCATCCATGGATGTTGGCTTGCTAATGGTTCAACCAAACGACCGAAAGAGTCCCATAGAGGTTGTACAAAATCCGCATAGGATAAGTCACCCGGTAATAACAACATGTCGTAATTTGATTTACTTATATGATTCAATGTTGATTCAGTATCCTCGGTCTGTCCAAGATCACCTACAAATAAAATGATAGATAGGATACACTAATTATTGAATAAATTTAAAAAGAATTTTTTTTTCTTATAATAAGACCAGAGTTAGTAATATAACTGAATTAGATATATAGAACACTTACCAATTACTGCAAATTTGATTGGAAATTGATTAGGTGTAGTCTTGAAATAAATGGTGCAATGCAATAATGTCACCAAGTTTAAAGAAGTTTAACAAGGTTTCCAAGAAATGTCAGCTCAGATCAGAGATGCTTACGGTAAGTACGGAGGTCGGAACCGCCAATATCGTCAAAGGAACGTTGGCACGTCGTAACCGGAGTGTTACGCCATGCTGGAAATGCCTTCTTTGCTGCAGATACAGCCGCTTTAAACTCTTCATCTGTACTCAACGAAACTTGTGAAACAACTTCTTGTGTGGCCTATGATCGGATTAGAAAACAATTCTTCTTGATATAACGAATGAACTATACAAGAGTAGATGCAGCTGCAGCTCTGCCAATAGTGAAGCAACGACTCGACAAAACATTTGAAAAGCCACAATCACAGGAAATCAATCACTATTTTGGAAGATCAGTTATTAGATTACATTGGTTCGCTTCAGAAGTGTATACCAAAATCACAAAACGACTTGCACGTTAGTTCATACAGCCTGTAAAGTTACAAGCAGTACCAGCAGGAAACATGGAAGGCAAAGAATTACTTGCAGCATTTGGGCTAGAGCAACTCCCGGGAACATTCAAAGGAGCCCCTGACTTGGCGTCATTGAGAAATGATGTTACCTACACATTTAACAAGGGAGGCATTAAAACAGGATCCCAAATGCATATGCAATATTTTTTAGAGTATCCAAGAAGAGTGTCGTGCAAAAAGGCAGAAGAACAACTTACATATTTAAGGAAACCAAACAAAAAAAATGGTATGGCATTGTAAAACATTACATTTCAAGTATCACCGGGAGCTCATTAATTTACATGACTCGGGAGTAGGCAGGATTTACAAGAATTGGCAGCGACAATCTTCAAAAAAGTAAAAACTATAACAGATGAAACCAACTACTACTTAATATGCTGAGAATAAAAGCAGACGCGCATCAAAGTCTTAATTCTCATAAAGTAAGTGTGTCGGATGCTATAAAAACCTCTGGGATCCAATTAACAAATTTTGACCTGAAGTGGCAACAACATTCCCTATTGATATTACTATTCTATCCAAAAATTAATGATAAATGTTATTGGAGAGAATTCAACCATGACACCCTTACCACCCCTATCTGTATATCCCTCGCCCAAACCACGAGATTATCTTATCACTCACATTACTATCATGTCAATTAGTTAAACTTTAATGTAAGAAAGATGCACCTTTCTCAGAAACCTTCATTATCTAAACAACCATTGCTTGATAACCATAATTACTATCTCACCCCTTTTCATCCCCATAAGCAATTTCAGATCAATCCATTCTTCATGCACACACATGCTTGATAACCATAATTACTATCTCACCCCTTTTCATCCCCATAAGCAATTTCAGATCAATCCATTCTTCATGCACACACATGCATACAATTGAAGCGAAAAAATCTAACCAATATAATAATAACACAGCGTAGCAATGGGGAATTTCAAAACAGAATAAAGCATTACCAATCGATTACTTTCGGGAAGGGACAACCAATGTTCGAATAACTTCTCCACAAAATTGAGATTACTTTTGAGAGCCAAAGTGGAAAACTCGGGAAGCTGCAACAATTCAACGTCCAATGACGCCACATCAGTAACCACCTCCATACTTATCTAAACCAGTTTCGTTATCGTATCTCTCATTCAAAAACCAAATGCCAAAAAAGCACAAAACTCAAAACGAATCCTAAATTTGATTTGTTTCCTTTTTCCAACACCAGAACGAGTGAATTTCAATGCATTCGAATCGAAACCGCGTAATCAAAATGGAAGAAAACAAGTGCGGTGGAGATATTCAGATTCAGAGCTGCAGATTCAGCACGGAACCTATGAACGGAAATTTGATGATTTTGAGTCAAGAAGCCTTCCCCCGATAAGATTTGGAACCTTCTGATAGAACAAAATCAAAACAAGGTTAACAAAAACTCACTAACAACAAAAGCACTTTGAAGAAGAAGCATAATTGAATAACGTAATTGTCTATTTCCAGTACGAAAAATTCGATAGCATAAAATAGAAACACCTTAACTATTAATGATCTAAAAGAAACAAAGTAGCCAATTTCATTGGAGAAAAAACCAACCAAGAATCAGACTAAAAGTTGAACTTACCAGAGCATTGCGGTTACTGGAAGATGATTGAGCCGCCGTTGAGAAATGGGAATTTCCCAAAGCAGAGATCTGAGGCATGAGAAACTTCAACTTTGCTGCAAACACAAATAATCAAAACAAAAAACAAAATCAAAACTTTCTGAATCAGAATCATAATTCAAAACAATGATCAATGACCGTCTAAATGGGCATAAAAGAAAGAATTGGTGAATAATGAATTATACACTTACCGCGTCGAATTGAAAGCTGCAACATCATGGTATTGGTGATTGAAGAAAGAATTGGTGAGTAATGATCACGGACTACACGACTTCCCCAACTGTCTTTCCACCAACGCAACAGCTCGCAGCTCCTGCAATGTCTGATGAGCTTCATGGCAACTACTGCTTTCCAATGCAGGAAATCCAGCTCCCATCCAAGTAAATCCCATCACCCTATACTGCGGCACAACTCGCTGTGCATGCATAACATCAGCAACTACTATTTGCTCAACACCCTCCTCTCCCATTAAAGCCAAACTCGCTGTCGCAACCTTATTAACCATCGGCGAAGCCTTCATATCCTTCACTCTCCGGAGGCAAAACCACATCTATAACTGACGATCAGACAAACCCAACTTCACAGATAACTCATCCCTCAACGCCTCAGATGGATAAAGCTCGGCTGAAACAAAAACACAAAAATGAACATTTCAACCCAAATTCAACTTCAAGTCAAAGAAATGCACAAAAAAATACCTAAAATTTTACTCACTTACCAGCATATGCTTTTTCCAGAATCTCCAACTGTGAAGCAGACTTCATTTTGCGCTTGACCTTGTTCTCCTCCTCCAATAGCTTTTTCTCCTCTCCTCCTGAACAATCCTCCATTGTTGAAGCTAAAGCTCACATTCACTCAAACCCTAACAAATTGAACCGTACAAAACAAAAACCTTGCTCCCAAAAACCCCAAAACCACACTCAGAAACAATCCAGAAACCAAAAACACACAAAGAAGAAGAAAATAATCCCAGAGTAGCTAGTAGCGTGAATTTGGAGTTTATCTCTCTAACATTTGAGCTAGAGCAACTCTCTCTCTCTCTCTCTCAAAACTGGAACCGAACAGAGTGTGATTGAGATGTGTGGTTAGGCTTGGGATTAGGAGAAGGCCACAAATCAAATGAATGTTAGGGTTCCGATGACAGGTTTGGAGAAGGTTTTGGAGAAGAAGGAATTCATTTGTTGAATGAAAGGTTTCTTGGGAAGAATAAGGGTTTGTAAGGAGAGAAGGGTTTGAATAAAACTTATTAGGTCAGGTGTGCAATACCTGACTTAACAAATATGTTTTTTAAGTCAGTTAGTGAACACATGCGACTTAAGAAATTTAATACGAATTATATTTTTTTTAAAATTTTTTTTAAGTCAGTTCTAAATGTAAGTGACTTAACAATGTTACAAATATTTACGAAATTGCCACCGCATCACTTCTTAAGTCAGGTGGCAAGTGAACTGACTTAACAACCTCTACTATAAAGTGTTTTTTCTACTAGTGCGAGGTCGATCCTGCAAAGATAAAAGCTATTTAAGATATGCCAGCGCCGAAAACAGAAAAGAGGTTCGTGGTTTCTTGGGAAGATTGAACTACATCGCTCGGTTCATATCTCATCTCACAGCCACGTGCAAACCAATGTTCAAATTGCTAAAGAAAGATCAGGCGGTTGTCTAGAATGAAAATTGTTAAAGGGCATTTGATAAGATAAAAGAGTATTTGCAGGAACCTCCGATACTGATACCCTCAGTCGCTGGAAGACCTTTGATAATGTATCTAACGGTTCTTGAGAATAGTATGGGTTGTGTTCTCGGTCACCAAGACGAGACGGGAAGAAAAGAGAATGCAATATACTATCTGAGTAAAAAGTTCACAGATTGTGAGTCTCGGTACTCGATGTTGGAGAAAACGTTTTGCGCACTCGCGTGGGCTGCCAAACGTTTGAGACAGTATATGCTTAATCATACAACCATGCTGATTTTGAAGATGGCTCCGATTAAATATGTCTTCAAAAAGCAAGAACTTTTTGGAAGAATTGCCAGGTGGCAGATGGTACTGACAGAGTACGATATTCAATATGTTTCCCAGAGGGCTATCAAATGGAGTGTTCTGTCAGAGTATCTCGTTGAACAGCCGATCAAAGACTATCAACCGATGAAATTTGATTTTCCTGATGAAGACATCACGTATCTGAAGATGAAAGATAGTGATGAACCATTTCCTGACGAAGGTCCTGAGCGTGGCTCCCAGTGGCAGATGATATTTGATGGTGCTGTTAACTCGTATGGTAGTGGAATTGGGGAAATCATCACGACTCCCCATGGGTCTCATATACCATTCACTTCCAGGTTGACATTTCCTTGCACCAACAATGAAGCAGAGTATGAAGCATGCATCATGGGGTTGGAAGAAGCTATTGATCTGAGGATCAAGAACCTAGATGTGTACGGCGATTCAACGCTAGTTGTAAATCAAATCAAAGGAGAATGGGAGACCAGGAAACCCAATATGATTCCCTACATGAACTATGCAAGGAGGCTGTTGCCATTCTTTGATCGTGTAGAGTTACATCACGTGCCAAGAGCGGAGAACCAGATGGCAGACGCTATGGCGATGTTATCCTCAATGTACAAGGTAAACTATTGGAATGATGCTCCAAGAATAGTCATCTCGTGCCTTGATAGGCCAACGTTTGTATTTTCCATTGAGGAAGCCTCTGATGGCAAGCCATGGTTTTATGACATCTAGAACTTTCTTAAGAAACAAGAGTATCCGCCAGGGGCGTCGACCCGGGATAAGAAAACTCTGAGAAGGTTGTCTGGTAACTTTTATCTGAACCAAGATGGTGTACTCTACAGGAGGAATTATAACTTGGTGTTGTTAAGGTGCATGGACGAGAAAGAAGCAAGCTTGCTTATGGAAGAGGTCCACAAAGGAGCCTTTGGTACGCATGCCAGCGGGCACACCATGTCTCGAAAGCTGTTACGAGCAGGGTATTATTGGCTGACGATGAAATCTGATTGTTTCAAATATGCGAAGAAATTCCATAAATGCCAGATTTATGCAGACAAGATTCATGTGGCGCTGTGTCCTCTGAACGTCATGGCATCTCCTTGGCCCTTTTCCATGTGGGGCATTGACATGATTGGCAAGATCGAGCCAACCGCATCCAACGGACATCGCTTCATCCTAGTAGCCATTGACTACTTTACCAAGTGGGTGGAAGCAGCCTCTTATGCGAATGTCACGAAGCAAGTCGTAGCCAGATTTATCAAAAAGGACATCATCTGTAGATACGGAGTGCCTGAACGAGTCATTACTGATAATGGTTCGAACTTGAACAACAAGATGATGAAGGAACTGTGCCAGTGTTTCAAAATCGAGCATCACAACTCATCGCCCTATCGTCCGAAGATGAACGACGTTGTTGAAGCGGCCAACAAAAACATCAAGAAGATAGTGCAGAAGATGGTTGTAACCTATAATGGTTGGCATGAGATGTTGCCCTTCGCTTTGCACGAATATCGTACTACAGTATGCACTTCAATTAGGGCCACTCCTTTCTTGCTGGTGTATGGTATGGAAGCTGTCCTACCATTAGAGGTCGAGATTCCTTCTTTGAGAGTCCTGGTCGACGTCAAGCTCGATGAGGCAGAATGGGTAAAGAACATATTGAATCAGCTTATCCTGATGGATGAGAAAATGCTAGCGTCTTATGCATACGGTCGGTTGTATCAGAGCCGGATGAAGAAAGATTTCGACAAGAAGGTGTGCCCTCGAAGCTTTCAGACGGACGATCTTGTACTGAAAAGATTCTCCCTCCACTAACAGATCACAGAAGCAAATGGACTCCCAATTATGAAGGTCCATACATCGTGCGAAAGGTCTTCTCAAGAGGAGCCTTGCTGTTATCCACCATGGATGGTGAGGATTTTACATCCCTTGTGAATGCAGACGCGGTTAAAAAATAATTTGCTTAAAGAGACCCGCTGGAAAGAAAAAAAGAATATCCAGGCAAAAATGGGGCATCCCAGTGAACCATAAAAAGAATGGGTTCAGGCAAAAGTTAGGGATATAAACAAAAGATGTAAACCCGCAAAGTTGAAAACCTGAAAGGGCGACTTTGGCAAAAATGGGTATCCCGAAGAATTGAAAACCCGAAAGGGCGATTCAGGCAAAAGTTAAGGATTAAAAAAAAAGCAAATGACTGCGGTCTGCATGCGATCTTCAGAGCTTAGTGGATTGAGGGAGGACCTGAGGGCCGTTTATCTGAATCAATCTCTTCTGAGGACGAAGCGTCGGTGAAGCATCGGAGTCATGCGGGTCATAGATGGATCAACTTATGGTGTTCGTCTATGCCACATTGCTGACATTCTGTATATTTCTGTGCATTTCTGTATATTTTTGCGCAGCTTCCTCTTTTCAGGGGTTGCATCTGTTGTAAAATCTTGCCTATTTACAGGCCCATCTGTCAATAAAATATATACTATTCAGTAATTGTTTGTTTTGCTTTAGCCTTACTGTTTTGTTTGCAAAAAACGCTCGATGTTTTTGATAAACTGTGTATACATAAACTTGCAGGCTTTGCCAATAATATTAAAACTTCGAGTTATTTGAACAACGTTACGGATGATGACTGAGATAGTTCCTTTGTACAGGATATGTTGTCTGTTTGTTCATTTTTGCAGGGTCGTTAGCCTTGGGGCAATTCGTCAGAGGTGTATCTCAGGTATGATCACCATTTTCCCCCCAACTATTGAAGTTTGAGCATCTCTATGCCCGATAGATCTGTATGCAGGTGGACCAAGCAGTTAAGTGTGTGCGCTTATCCCCAGAAGTTGGTCGGTACTCATTTATCTCTTCGCAGTTCGAGACCGAAGTCTCCAACAGAGTAAGGCTATTCCCAGAGGGTCGAGATTGATATTCCCAGCAGATTAAGTGTGCTCGCTTATTCCCAACAGTTGGTTCGTACACATTTAATCCCCGCAGGTTGCAGGTGCGCCTATACTCCCCAGTGAGTCGAGATGGGATTTCTCCCCAGAGAGTCTGAGCAGGTGATTTCGTATCCCCTCGGAGTTCAGTTTGTTGAATCATCCCCAAGCAGAGGTTGATGTTGTTCCCTCGTTGGGCGATCCCTAGTAGAGTTGGCTTTTCTCCCTTGCAGGATCGTAGAGTTGTCTTTATCCTCGGCAAAATCAACATGAAGTGGTTCTATTTCCCCGCAGAGATAG